GTTCATCACATTGAATATTATTTCGATTACAGGTAGGTACATGTAACTCTTATTTAATGTAACAATTTAACAGGATTGAATTTAACAAACTACTTCTTCACTATTTGAAACATGTACACGCCTATTTTAAATAAAAAATACCAAATGTTCGAAATATTTAATCGAACAAACTACCAGATAGCTAGCAATATTTTTCCCGCTTACTAATAATCCATCATTTGTCCATACGAAATAAAATACTTAAAAAAAACTTTTAAAAAACCCACGTTTTTCTTGTGAACGTACCTACGTTTTTTGTCATCAAATGCCGTGACCAGGATTCGAACCTGGGTTGTCGGGGCCACAACGCGAAGTACTAACCACTATACGATCACGGCCAGCGCGCTCACATCGATTGGGGGCTCAACGCTCCTTCTTTCTAGATTCCATGTTTTTTTATATCTGCCTTCGAAATCTTTATTACAAATAATTAAGGCGTACGTAAGTGGCAAAGAGCTTCACCAGAAACATCGATCCGTGACTATTAACTGCCCCGTTGCCGCCAAATTTTATTATGTCTTTGATAACCGGCTCAAAGAATTTTTGATTCGACGTTTAACTTGCGGGTACCAAATGTAAATCTATCAGAAGATACTGGATGCTGTTTCCCTAAAAGTATTGACGTTCGTTTTCTTCGTTCTTAATTATAGTGTTGAAGGGATTCCCTCTAAAATCTTGTCGAACCAAGAACAAACTACCAGACAGCAATTGAATGATTTTGAAGTTGTCTCTCCTAGGAGAGTTGTTGTCCCCAACTATCTAGCCTAAGTTCCCCGAGGGCTAGAACTCGAGACTTTTCGGTTTAGCAATCATGAGCTTTACCGACTTTATCGACCAATATATCGCCATTTTTATTAACACGTTTTTATTAACTCAGCTTCGCGTGGATGTGTTTGTTGTTAAAATTGACATCGAAAATTAGCCCACTTCTGATTGCTCTATAGATCTGAAATTTGGCATGCAGGTTACTTTCGCCTAACAATTTCAGATGCAATCATAAAAACTAGCAATTAGAGACCGTAATTAGCTTAATTTAATTACGCCCAAAGGACCATAAAATCGAGGACATGATTTCTAAAGATACCGACAAGACTGGAGGCTTGTTGACACAGTTACTTCGGCCCCAATCGATGTGAGCGCGCTGGCCGTGATCGTATAGTGGTTAGTACTTCGCGTTGTGGCCGCGACAACCCAGGTTCGAATCCTGGTCGCTCAAGATTTTTTTAGTCCGTGTATTTATAAACACTTAGTCAATTCATACTTAATCAAGTCATTAGATAAAGTAGAAAATAAACTATATAAAAAACTTTTTTAAAAAACACGTTTTTCATGTGTAGCAACGGACTAAAAAGGAGAAAATAAAATACTTAAAAAAAACTTTTTAAAAAAACACGTTTTTCTTGTGGACTAAAAAGTAGAAAATAACTATTTACATACATTTGATGACAAAAAACGTGGGTCGGGCAGATGGGTCGGGAAATTTGATGGTGAACGTACCCACGTTTTTTGTCATCAAATGTATGTAAATAGTTATTTTCTCCTTTTGAGTCCACAAGAAAAACGTGGTTTTCTAAAAAGTTTTTTTTAAGTATTTTATTTCAATTTCTATTCGTTTTAACCAGCTTGCTTTTTTAAACTGCCTTTTGAGATCTCCATTTAAATACTATATGGCAAGTGTGTTCCCATTACTTTCTTCTTTCCTACAAACTTACATTAAGGAAAGTCTGGATCTTCTGTGTGCTTCTGGCTGTAGTTTTCATGGTCAACACTCCAAACATAAGTATCAGCTTATAAAGTTCTGGTACTGACATTCAGTTTTAGATGACAAAAAGCTGTCATTGGACTAGATAGCAGCAAATTTTAGATGACAAAAAGCTGTCATTGGACTAGATAGCAGCAAGTTTTAGATGACAAAAAGCTGTCATTGGACTAGATAGCAGCAAGTTTTAGACTATATTTCACATTAAATAATTTATTTCCTTCAATCCTTTCGAATTGTATTATTTATTCTAGCAGCGACAAAGTGAAGGCCAGAGATCTGAATTATTTGATTCTAAGAAATGAAAAAATGTTTTGTTTATTTCCAGGTCTAAAAATTGAGTTGAACAGAGAATATTTTTACCACGGCAAGGATTTATTTTGTGCACAACTCCAGTGTACAGAAAACATAAGAGAAGACACTCAGATATCAGCTCTTGTCAACATGTCAGTCTATAGGATCAGTGAACCAGAGGGGAAGATTTTGGTGGCTTCTATTTCAGAATCAGATTCAAAGATTCAAGATTATAAAAGGACTGGAACAAGAGTAGATGGGAAAATATCGAAAACATTTTCTGAATTGGAAGTTTTTTTAGCAAATAGTTCAGACTGCAATGATGGCATTGTCCTATGTGAAATACATTATGTAAATACATCAGGGTCAATTGATAGAATTGGGAAACAGACGGAGAGGCTACAAAAGAAATCACGTGACACATTTCTAATGATGAACTTAAAAGCTAAAACTTCTGACTATGTTAAATCTGTTGACACAATGGCCGATTTTCTCAAATCGTTTGAAGACCCAGACAGACTGAAAGGTGCAGACATGACAATGTCATTACAGATATCACATTCTGGTGGCGATAAGTTCAGCACAGAGAAACGTTTTGGTCCAATAGATACAGAGTTAAATAACAATTATACACAGATAAGTTCCTCTACCCTTGATAATAAAATGTGGGACGATAAGATACACAATTTAACTCTTGATGTAAACAAAACAATACAGATGATGGAAAATAAACTCAGTTCAAAAATAGAGTTAAACAAAAATAGTTTTGCTGTTTTAAACGAATCAATCCAAACAATGTTAGCCAACACCCAGAACGAGACAGAAAAAATCAATGTCAGATTAAATGATATGGAAACAAATATAAAGAAAACTATCACACAAGAATATATCAATTCCACATTAAATTTGGTAGACGGTCTCAACAAATCTTTGCAAGGTTTTATTGACGAGTACAACAATGACCAATTCTATTTAAAATTAACAATACAGGTAAAAAAAAAACTGTACAGGACCCTTGAACTTTTTTGACAGTTTTGTTTGTGTCAATCCTTTCACTTTTAGAGCAAACAATTAATTTTATTTAAAGAAATTGCTATAATAGTTGAAATAAATTGTGCTTAGTCATCATTTACCTAAACTATTTTTATAAATAAATAAAGTTAAAATCAATAATTTTTATTAAAAGTTTAAAATATATGTTTATACTTAATTTCTATTTGATACATCTAAGCAATTCATTTTTAAAAAAGTGAATTGCGGAAAATGAAAATAATGCAGTTAGAGTTTTTGTTAAATCTTTTGGCTATGAATCGCTAATTTTATTTCATTTCTTCTAGTGTATTAGGAGCAATAACTCAAGTCTACCCGAACAAAAAGTTGTTAAACTAAGTGAAAAAAAACTGGCCTTGTGTGACACCAATACAGACGGTGGAGGATGGATTGTTTTACAAGTACTGTACGCTTCTATTATTTAGTAATCCTTGACAACTTTTAGCATTTTTGTTCGAGTTGTTTCCCGTGTTGATTAAAATTTTCAATATTATTTTCCCTAATCCAAAGTCGAATAACTAACAAGTCTTGTCATTTATTTTATGTTTTTAAATTTTATTTTTCATTATGAATAACATGTGGTGAAACATTTTTGGGTAGGTGTAAACTAATTGAATTGAGTCTAACTATCTTTAGTCAAAAGCTCAGTTTTCAAATATTTTAATAGAAAATGTACCATATCAACATGCGTAGATTTTTTAGGACTTCAGGCCTAAAGTATAAAATAGTAAACATACTATGCAAAAATTAGAAACAGCTGCTTAAAATAGATTATGATTCGCTAAACCAACCTACACTCTTGCTCAAGTAGTTCTCTAAATAGATAAAGTAAAAAAAAATTGGAGGCTGTCAACTAACACCCATCTCAGTTATCCGGTTAAATAATTCTGAGTTTAATTACAAGACGTTTGTTAATGCGTCGAAGCAAGATTTAATAACTTGTCAATAACTATAGTGCCGTATATAGGCCTATATATATATATATATATATATATATATATATATATATATATATATATATATATATATATATATATGTTTCTCACTCAAAAACTATGGATAAGCCTGTATTGTAATTATTTAGTTGAATGCAACACAAAAACCAATATCTTTTAAATTAAAAATAACAAAGTTTATCTCTCGACTCAATACAAATGTTAAAAATACAAATATGAAATACAACAAATAATGCTGCTTATGGTCTGATACACTCCCTAAAAATTAGTAACTTTATTTCCACTGATTAGTTTTAAGTTGTGTTATCAATTACTACTCGACTACCTCACACGGATTGTCTTTGACAATTGAACACTGAATCTTGCTCTAAAACTTTTTGAACTTGATTCTGCCTGTAACGAAACATTTTCTTCACATGAATCTAATCCTGCTTTGTATTACATGAAAATCTTTCAAGTTGAGTTTTTCATTTTTGACTTACCGTTTTCAATCCTTCAGACTTTATCTTAATGTATGTTCGATTGCGTCATCAAAATAACAATGAAAGTCGCATGGTACGTGTAGTGAGTTGTTCTGTAAAGGTTTGTATGAACGTTTTCTTGTTTTGTCTTAAATAAAATATTGGAGGGTATTTCCTATAACACAATTATGTATTAAAAGTCCGTTGACTCAATTTCTAGCCTACTTTTCTTTCTCGATTTGCTTCCATAGCCTTTGTTGATCAAATTTTTGTGTTTTCTCTCCTTTATGGTTTGCTGTCTCCAGATCTCGAGTCTTATTTACCCTGTGATTTGAACTCGGAGTTTTCATCCATTGTACAGGAAAATACCATATTTAGTTTTTAATTTTCAAACGAAAACTAGGTTACATTTGTACATTTGTCGTTTTTGTTTATTTTCAGAGACGTGTGTCGGGTGACGTAAATTTCACCAGAAACTGGAGCGACTACAAAAATGGTTTTGGATCTTTGGATGGAGATTATTGGCTGGGAAATGACTGGATCTCAAGCCTCACACAAAAGGTAGGTTATGTTTAATTTTGAATTTTTTATTGCTTCAATTTTTACTTTCTCTTGTAAGAATTAAGCAGACAATATTGTAATTTTGCAAAAAGAAATCTAAACAGATATTTTAATTCATTTTGAAGTGTACACCTCCCTGAGTCGTAAAAACCTTAGACTGAATGTCATTGTGTTTGTCTGTCTGCCTGTTTGTTTGTCTGGCTATACACATCATAACTTGAGTAACGTTTTAGTTCACCAAACTTAAACGGTTCTCAAGTTATTTGCTTTTAAGAAACCAGAAGTAGAGTAAGAACATGAGATTTCACAAAGTTGATGAAGAACTGCGCTTTTTAGCTATTTTTGAAACGAAAATAAAGCTGTAGGGTGATTTTCAAAAGATTTTCAAATTAGGCGCTAAATGTGTCCAGTTGAATATCTTGTGTGCTATATAACTAAGGAGAGGATAATTAGAAACATCCACACTAGAGAAACGATAGAAAATAGAAACAAATGTATTTCATAAAATTGGCAGTATTTACAACCAACAACTCTATTTTCTAGCATACGCAGATAAAATAGCACTACTAGTGAAAAGTGATATGGATATTAATATAATTTACTTTAAAAAAAGCAGCATCTCCACATGAAAAAAATTGAAGCATACAACGAAAAAGTATAAAATGCATGTTAATGTCAAGAGAATGACACATTTTAAAAAAGTATAGTTGTATACGGATGGGTGTAAAATGAAATGTAAAAGAATATTCTGTGACTTAATCAAAGTGACAGTAAAAATAATACAAAAATACAAAAATAGAAATTTAAGCCTAACACTAATTTAGAAATATAATATATTTTGAATCAATGATATAAAACTTGGAAATCCAGAAAACTTGAAAATATCTTAGAGTTTAACGCTACAATTCTCTTTATTTTCATTAAGCCTTAGTTATAACCCGATTTTTCAGATTCGTAAGACAAGTATTGATTGGCTGTACAGGAACGCCGTAATCAAATTCTGCTAGCTCTACATTATAGTCTATTGTTTACAATTTTTTTAAAAAAGCAATGCTAATTTAAAACACATGACTTGGGTCTGCCATTTTTAAAAATAATTTTTACAATTAAATTTATGCTAGCCCATCGAATAACATGTTGACATTGTTTTTCGATGGCATTACACGTGGAAACATCAATCTTTAGTAAATTCAGAAAAAACCCAAACAAACAGGATTTTACAACAATATTAATTTTAACTATGCCGTGCATTATTTTAAAAATATTTTATGGGCCTATCGAATACCTTTTAGACTTTTTTTGTTCTGGCCCATTTAGCTAAATCTGTTGATTTTAAAATTTATTTATACTTTTACAGGGCTACAGTGAACTGAGGTTTGACATGAAATATAAAGGTAAATCCTACTACGCCGTGTACAGTGATGTGTCGGTGGGAAATGAAGCAGATTTGTATAGGATAAAGTTTACATACAAGACAGGCAACACTACAGACAGCTTTAGTTATCACAATGGAATGGCTTTTTCTACTTTAGATAGAGACACTGTTAGATCGTCTAGTAACTGTGCTGACAGTTATAAAGGCGGCTGGTGGTATAACGCATGTCATAATGTGAACGTAAACGGTGTATGGGCGAGTAAAGATCATGGTGAAGGCATTAACTGGGGCGGTATAACAGGCTACAAAGATTCTCTGGAGCACGTGGAGATGAAGCTACGACGGCCGTGATCATAAAAAAAATCACGAAAACAGAACCTTGTGTTAACACTGACTGGTGCATGATAAATTTACAATATGTCGCCAAATTTATTAACAATGTTCACATGTATATAGATGTAATTTTATTTTTACTATAAAAACTATTGTTCAGCGTTTAAGTTGAAATGAAACAATCAACAAAACTGCTTTCCTCTAACATATAACGCTCTGTCTATTGCTAACTGAATTTCTCTGTTGGCTAGAACTTTGTTTCTGTAGAGCTAAGTTGTGTTTGATTAAATTGTAAATAAATTTCTAAATGTAAGTATACCTACAGTTATTCTACTTTGAGTTGTAAGCGGTTTGTTCTACCAGTTTAACGTAAATTATTATAAAAGGGGAGAAACAAAAATGTACAAGTGCATTCAAATTCTAATATCGTTAAACATATAGCTAAAAAAAGTAATTAATTTTCGATTTTATTCTTAATTGGATAAAAAGAAATGATTTTCGTGAATTAAATAGTAGCGATATATTAAATAGTGATTAAGTTTATAGTAATAAACATAACAGAAATGATCATAGAGAGGATTAATTTTTTACACCACCGGTTCCAAAAGGGTTTTGGGTGGCTATCCTCCTTTATAAAAACCAAATGAACAGCGATGCCGATACAATTAAAAAAAACAATATCGTATTATCTTACACAAAATGTATGAGCTAGGATGGCAAAGTAAAATAAAAGGATAGAAATATAAAAGCTTGTAAAGAAACCTCTCGTTTTTGTGAGAAAACAAAAAGATGCGAAACACTCTTAGAATATGCCTTATAATAGAATAATAAACAAGTGTAAGCTTTTTGGAGAAATCTGAACTAGAGAAAAATACCGCTCCCAGACATCAGAGGTCACTCAAAAATTAAGTTATCTAAGTAGGCCTTTAAGATATTGTGCTTTATATTTATTGCAACTATCTAAATGAAACAGGAATCAGTTTTGTGTTGGCTTCAAAAAAAAAATAAAGTACTTTTTGCAGTTACTCGAAATAGTTTAAATGTTAAAAAATACCTGTATATACAATCTAGTATTTATAATTGAAGTTTCGTCTACATAATTGAAATGACACTCAATAAAATAACTCACTCTTTTCGCTTTGAATATCGCTCAAAACTTTGATAGATACTTGAATATAGGATCTAATACGTATATTTGGATCTTCATTAACCTAACTCATATAGTGCTCAGGTTATCGGGTTCTCAGGCAAAAAACAATAAAAAAAAAATACACACGCAGACAGATAAAAAGACAGAGATAAAGATGAGATTAGAATTTTTACATTCTCAGGTAAGTGAAAATTTTGATGCTAGGCTTTTGCACACTATCTCTATACCTTATATACAATATCGGAAAAATTATTTTTAATAAAATATCTTGCGGATCTTGGTCAAGTAAGTTATCATTATTTTATTGTAATTTTTAAGTATTGAAAAAAATATATAATACATATTTTTGCTATTAAATTAAAACAAAAAATTACATTATAAAAAAATAGTATTTAAATATTTTAAAATATTTCTATTTCTATTAACAGTCAGTTTTAAAAACCTCAGTAATTCAGTTTTCTTATGTTACAAAATATAGCTGGTAATTTGAAAAAAAATGTTTTCTTGGGCTACTTCTCTCTCGTTTTTCTGCGTTATGTATAGAAAGGTCAGAAAAAGGAACAACGTATCTATTTCAAATGAATGACGATTATCTGCACTTTAATCTAAGTATTTACTTGGTGACAGGACAAATGATCTCAGGACAAATGATCTCATACAAAATATCTCAGACAAAAAATCTCACGGACAAATGATCTCAAGACAAATGATCTCAGGACAAATGATCTCAAGGATAAATGATCTCACGGACAAAAGATACCAGGACAAAATATATCAGGACAAATGATACCACGAACAATTGATCTCAGACAAAATATCTCAGACAAAATATCTCACACCTAAATTTTAATAGTGTATTGGATGATTTTAATTGATCTGAATTTTTTTTTGTTGACTGTCTTATGGTTTTGTTTAATATTTCTAATATTGTTTATAGGCCTATATAATAATTGTAAGAAATGTTTGCCGTACAAAATAGTCATATTGCACTAAACATTTTAAAGTTAATATAAGTAATATAGTATACCAAGATTAAAGAAATAATTTCGAAAGACAGCGTAGGTGTGCTTGACAAACGTGAGACTATCCTAACACGTCAGGTGGACGAAACTAGATCAAAGAGGATGGAATAACAATTACGACACACCATCGTATCAAGGTTGCCGCCCGCTTTGATGGCAGAAACATGCCTTAAGGGAAAGACATCCGCCCTCCATGGACAATACGACAAGCATATAAAGTACATTGTTATGTGTCGGTAACACCTTAGTGATCAGGTGACTAATGCATGTTTAAACGACAGCGGTCATCGCGGAGCTAAGTATGTCGTAGTGTGCATCAAACAAAGCAGTATTAATGGTGATTGCTTTGCTATGGTCTCTTTCGTTACCTCGCAGAAAGGTATTAGGACATTAGTTTCTGGTCAATTTATGTTTGACATAAGCAGGCAAAGAGATTTGGAAATGTGAAATTAGGACATGTCGAGCAAGAGTTCACACAATAGATAATCACATAGTATTGAAGAGGTGTGATCATAACGATGTACCTACCAGAAAAGAAACTTACACGTTATGTTTGTGTTGATGATGTAATAAAAACAATAGTTTAACGTTACGAACCTTCAGACCCAATCACATTTTTGAAAGATATTTCGCGTGTTCTGAACATTAATGTTGTATAGCGACCGTTACTTTATTTGTTTTATACATTATCATTTATTATGCCTTTCAGGCTAATAGAGTAATTTTGTTTTAATTCTTACTTTTTCAAATCAAATGCTACAACAGTTGTTTAATACACCTTTTGATAGTTGTTAGGTTTCACTAATTAATTTTATTCACAATTATTATACGTAATAAACCGGGAGTGATCTCCCCTAAACTTTCTCGAATATTTTTATATAAAATAACAGGGGATGGGAACTCGGGCTATAGACATGATTTTTAATCCATTTTAAATACTTACAGTTTTAAAAATAGAATAAAATCTCGTATACAAATTAATTGCACACCAAGTGAACGCGAAATAAAAAAGCGCATAATAGTGCGCAATATTATTAGTACTTTTAAAATTTACATTAGTTTTTTGAGAAATCGGAAGTAGCGTAAATTACTACTTCCGGTCAACGGAAATTACTCAAAATTTAACAGAACGTAGAGAATTAGATCTTTTACTTACATGTGAAATTTCATTTATCTATCTGAAATAGTACTCAAGTTATAGGCTTTTGAAAAATTCAAAGTAGAAAAAGTACCACTTCCGGTTGTCGGGAATCGCTCAAAAGTTGATACGGATCTACGATTTTGATATAATACTTATATATGAAATTTCATCAACCTAGCTGTAACGGTACTCAAGTTATCGTGTTTATACACGGACACACACACAGACACACAGACACACACACACACAGACATACGGACAAGATTGCAAAATTATGTTTTTCCGTATTTGCACGATTACAATACTTTCTCTATACTACGTATATACGAGAAAGTAAAAAAGTAAACAAAACCATATTAACAGTCAATAAAAAAAAGTTCAACTAAAATCATCGTCAATACTATTAAAATTTCGCTGTTAGATATTTTGTCTGAGATATTTTGTCCGAACTCATTTGACCATGATATCATTTGTCCTGATATATTTTGTCCTGGTATCTTTTGTCCGTGAGATCATTTGTTCTTGAGATCATTTGTCCTGAGATCATTTGTCCTGAGATCATTTGTCCGTGAGATATTTTGTCTGAGATATTTTGTCTGAGATAATTTGTCCTGAGATAATTTGTCATGGAACCATTTACTTGATGTAAGCCCTGCTAGGGGGGGGGGATACCTAAAATCTACCCTTCTAGGCTTATCTAACTACTGTCCGGTCAGTGCAAGTCCGGCTAAACCCAGACTGGTTAATAACCTAACCTTAGTCTAAATTAAAGACAAAAAAACTTTTAACAATTTAATAAAATTTATTTTTCAAAAATAAGGAACCAATGGAAAAATTACAGAAAAAGAATAGATAAAAACTGACACAAAACAGACAAAACAAAACCAAACAAAACAGTTTATATACAACAAAACATTACGTTCGACCATCTGCTGGTGTTGCACCGACTTATGTCTAGGATGGTCCAGGCCCTGACACACAGAAACCTCCCTTCATCCATTCTCGACATCCAAAAGTCCACACCAAACAAAACACTACGTAAAACCACTATGTACAATACGTTACGTACAATACATTACGTAGAACACAATACGTACACAAAAAACTTTTTACAAACAAAACAATTCATATATAACAAAACACCCAGCCAAGTTGCACAAGCAACCTCACTCCAACGCACAAAGCGCGACCACAGAAGCTGACCTGACCTACATCTCGCCGCGGGTCAAAAAAAAAAAGGAAGAAAATCACTCCGAGCGGTCAATTTATACTGACCGCTTCGGGCGGAAGGGGGACCCCGTGCTGTTCCCCATTGGACCACCATGCACTCCCAGATTCGCAACAAATAAAATAATACAAAATAATCCATTCACCCACTCACATTGATTCAGACTTTCATTGTATTATAACAATCCTACATTAGTTATTCAATAAGATATTGAACAAAATTGCTGTTTTTAAAGCTTTAAAATTTGTGCTAGGCTCGGAGTAATTGAACTAGTAATCGCATGGTCGCTAACCAGACAGTTCGAACCATCGGACAGAGAAGGCTCGACAGCTTGAAGACTGATAACTCCGAAAACAAACTCTGGTTTTCTCTAAGGCAGCTCCTGCGACACTGCTGAATCCAAGCTGTACAGGTTACGTCCTGTCCATTGGGTCCATCAGATGTGTTGAGAGATTGGGGTCTTATATACGGGCAATATCTAGCTCTTCTCCTCTTACTGTCCAGGCTTTGTGCTTGGATTTTAAATGCGCAACCATCCAATGGTCTATTAGACTATGGAGCCATAAATTTGATCTGATCTGAAATGCTTTTTATAGTTTGAATTTTCTTTATCTTTAATTTTCTTCTTGTTACATCTTGAAGAAACTGCAAATTGTATGAAAAAAAAAGTTAGTCACACATTGTGACTTGTCGATGAACTCGACA